GCGCGCGCGAATGTCCACTTTACCTTATTTTTTGCAAGGGATTATTGAAATTTGATTATGTTAGAACAAGAAAAAGTAGCTCGCGCGAGCTCATGTAACATAAATGTTGAAAAACCATTGGTTTTGTGGGATTCGGACAGCGCGCGCGGAAAGACATTTTGACAATTTTTTCTTAAAAAACCATTGGGTTTTTGACGTTTTTATGTTAAAATCGTTACGAAACCTAAGGTTTTGGAAGGATTTCGTCTTGCGCGCACGAATGTCCACTTTACCTTATTTTTCGCAAGGGATTCTTGCAATTTGATCAAGTAAGAACAAGAATTTTCATTTTATGGTGTTTTTTGCAAGGGAAAACGGATTACAACAAAACAACCGGATCCGGTACCAATCGTTTTGCCTGAGACTTCCTCACGAAAATGATGAAAATGAGGCTGCGGCCTAGGCGCGGCGGGGGGGTCGTGCACCAGGGGGCCCAACAATAATTATTCTTTAGAAGTAATAATGTTTTCATTCATTTTACCCGACGCGTGGTGTTCTCTGCCAGTGCCAGGGTATTTATTCGATACGACACCAGGCATACCCCCCACTTTCGTGGGGGGGCATTACAAGCTCTACCAAATATCCAAACGACTCTTCGCGACCCCCCAAACCCAGCTTCCCGCCCTATGACGTTGGGACACTTCACTTCGTGGCGTGCGGACGACCGTGGCTACTACCCTGGCGTGGGGTACACACCCACAGAACCCAATGGTTTTTGGAGATTTCGGCGTGCGCGCGCGAAGAAAAAACGAATGTGTCCCGCATGGTATTATTTGACAGGGATGATGGCCCTGGCAGGTGCGCAAACGTTGTCGCAGAAGTTCGAAAAAGTTGCTCGCAAAAGCCCGTTTGACAGAAATGTTTTAAAAAGTGTTGGGTTTCCTACGAATCCGCAAGAGCGCGCGGGATGAGATTTTGACATTTTTTTGTTGAAAAACCATTGGTTTTTTGATGTTTTTATGTTAAAATCGCTCCGAACACTAAGCTTTTGGAAGGATTTCGTCTTGCGCGCGCGAATGTCCACTTTACCTTAATTTTTGCAAGGGATTCTTGAAATTTGATTATATTAGAACAAGAAATGTCATTTTATAGTGTTTTTTGCAAGGGAAAACGGATTACAACAAAACAACCGGATCTTGATCACCTCGAATTACCTGAGGCTTCCTCACGAAAATGATGAAAACGTGGCTGCGGCCTAGGCGCGGCGGGGGGGCGCGCACCAGGGGGCCCAACAATAATTATTCTTTAGAATTAATAATGTTCAACAACAACAACAACAACAACAACACTCATTTTACCCGAACGCTCAGCGTTCTCCCCAGTGCCAGGGTTTTCTTGCGACACCAGCCAATACCCCCACTTCGTGGGGGGGCATTACAACTCTACGCAAAATATCCAACACTCTTCGCGACACCCAAACCCAGCTTCCCCCCTATTGACGTTGGGACACTTCAACTTCGTGGCGTGCGGACTACCGTGGCCTAACTACACTGGCGTGGGGTCCACACCCACAGACCTTAAAAACCCAATGTTTTTGGAGATTTCGGCGTGCGCGCGCGAAGAAAAAACGAATGTGTCCCGCATGGTATTATTTGACAGGGATGATGGCCCTGGCAGGTGCGCAACCGTTGTCGCAGGAGTTCGAAAAAGTTGCTCGCAAAAGCCCGTTTGACAGAAATGTTTAAAAAGTGTTGGGTTTCCTACGAATCCGCAAGAGCGCGCGGGATGAGATTTTGACATTTTTTTTGTTGAAAAAACATTGGTTTTTTGATGTTTTTATGTTGAAATCGCTCCGAACACTAAGCTTTTGGAAGGATTTCGTCTTGCGCGCGCGAATGTCCACTTTACCTTATTTTTTGCAAGGGATTCTTGAAATTTGATTATATTTGAACAAGAAATTTCATTTTATAGTGTTTTTTTTGCAAGGGAAAGCGGATTACAACAAAACAACCGGATCTTGATCAACTCGAATTACCTGAGGCTTCCTCACGAAAATGATGAAAACGTGGCTGCGGCCTAGGCGCGGCGGGGGGGGCGCGCACCAGGGGGCCCAACAATAATTATTCTTTAGAATTATATATATTATATGATTAATGTTCAACACACAAACAACAAAAAACACACAACAACAACCACAACAATAACACAACAACAACACAACATTACTAAAAATAAAAAAAATAACTACTAAAAACTAAAAAACTAACTAGAAAAAAAAAAAAATAAGGAACTTACTAAAACTAACACTGAAACTGATCTTATAACTAATGCTAAAAAAAGTCTAGATAATACTAAACTAAAAAAAAAGCACGTGGGGACACACCGTTCTCCAATTGCCAGGGTTTTCAGAGGAGGCAAAAGAAGAAAGAGAAGAGAAAAGAAAGGACAAGAGAAAAAAGAGAAAGGAAAAAGTGAAAAAAAAAAAAGGGGGGGGGGGAGCGGGTCGGCAATACCCCCACTTTGTGGGGGCGCCGGTTCAAGCTCTACCAAATTTCCAAACGACTCTTCGCCACCACCCACACCCAGCTTCCCGCCCTATGACGTTCGGACACTTCACTTCGTGGCATGCGGACGACCGTGGCTACTATTCAAGGCCCCGCGGCCGACGACGACGGCGTGCGCGCGCGAAGAAAAACGAATGTGTCCCGCATGGTATTATTTGACAGGGATGATGGCCCTGGCAGGTGCGCAACCGTTGTTGCAGAAGTTCGAAAAAGTTGCTCGGAAAAGCCCATTTGACAGAAATGTTTAAAAAGTGTTGGGTTTCCGACAAATCCGCAAGAGCGCGCGGGATGAAATTTTGACACTTTTTTTTGAATAAGCATTGGTTTTTGTTATGTTTTTATGTTGAAATCGTTACGAACGCCAAGGTTTTGGAAGGATTTCGTCTTGCGCGCGCGAATGTCCACTTTCCTTTTTTTTGCAAAGGGATTCTTGAAGTTTGGTTATGTTAGAACAAGAAATGTCCACTTTAGCTTATTTGCAAGGGAAAACGGGGGACAAACAAAACAACCGGATCTGGACCACATCGTTTTGCCTGAGACTTCCTCACGAAAATGATGAAAATGAGGCTGCGGCCTAGGCGCGGCGGGGGGGTCGTGCACCAGGGGTCCCAACAATAATTATTTTTAAAAAGAAATAATGTTCAACAACAACAACAACAACAACAACAACAACAACAACAACAACAACAACAACAACAACAACAACAACGAAGACGACGACGACGACGACGACGACAACAACAACGCAACAAGCAGAATTATCACCACGAATTCCCTATTCAGCCACGCACCCAGGGACAATGAATGACCGTTCGGCCCCCTCACTCTGACATATATAAATATAAATATATACATACATACATACATACATACATACATACATACATACATAAACATACACAGATGTATCTGCATTTGCAGATGCATATGCTTATACATATACGCTCATGTGTACATAAACATATGCATGTACGTATACGTATGCATGTACACATACTTAGACATGTGCATCGACATAATCATATTCACATATGAATGTATATATACACAGATACAGATACGGTGCATCTACATATACGTGCACATAAAAGTAGACATGTTCGTATACGTCGACATATACATATACACATGTGTGTTTGAAATAATTCTGCATTTGCTTCAAAACAAATTTCCAAATGCCCAAGACGCCCCAGGGGGGGCCCAAGATGGCCCCAGGACGATCCAAGAGGCTCCCAAGACAGCCGCCAAAGGGCCCCAAGACGGCCCAAGAGGCCTCCAAGACACCCAAGATGGCCTTCAAGACGACCCTGACGCGCCCGGAGAGGGCCCCAAGACGGTTCAGAGAGGCTCCCAAAACGGCTACCAACGGCGTAAGACTGGCCAGGGACGCCGTAAGGCGGCCAAAGAGGCCTCCAAGAAATCCCCAAAGGCCCCTAAGAGGCCTCCAAGAGGCCCCCAGGAGGCTCCCAGGAGGCCCCAAGAATGACCCAGTAAGGTCCCAAGAGGTCTCCGCATCATTCTCCTCCTCCTCCTCATTTTCCCTCCCTTTCCTTATACTCCTCTTCCTCCCCCATTTGCTTCCCGAAGGGCTTCCAGAACGGCTGGGGGAACGCATGGTCCAATAGCGTGGCCAAACACTGCCCACACGTTTGGCCACGCTGGCGTGTCCTAAAAGGCAGGGAGCGGCGGTGATTTGCCGTAGGCAACTTCGTAGAAAAATGAACTAGGCCCACGCGCGCGCGCATCGCGCGCAGGTATCTTATGCTCATCCTATGCCTACGCTTCATCTCGTAGTCCAAGTTGTCTCATTCCTCCTCGCCCTCCATTAAGCTTTTCTGCTCCTCACTCTTCCTCGTTTGAAGGAGTTTCTGTAGAACTCACGTCATCCTGACCCCAGCGCGCGAAGAAATCAGGCCCACACCGCGCTTCCTGCACTGTTTCTGGCGAGTCCAGCGAATCCGGTCCAAACTGACACTATCGCCCAGGGCATCCTAACAAAATCGGCCCTGGGGAAGGCCCAAGCATGCCTCCTTGTATTGTTTCCGGCAAATCGGGCGGCTCCACCAGAAGATTCCCCAACCGGCGCTACCGCTAGGGACATGTTCACAAAATCGGCCCCAGGGGAGGTGCCAAGAGTCCCTCCTGACACGGTTTCCAGCGAATCCAAAAGCCCCCAGGAGGCCCGCAATACCCTTCCATGGCCATGAGATGACAATGTGTTTTGAACACGTGATTGCCCGCCGTCAGCCAAGCTTTGCCGCAGCATGCAACGGAACTGGCCTGAAGAGCGAAGTGTGAAAATACAGACGGTTCTAATAGGGTACCAAAAGGTAGCGGCACACAAAAAAGCTGCCAAGGATCCGGGACAGCGTGCCAGACTCAAAGATGGCGTGGCCGCTCTTACGACAACTTCGATCGCAGTGGGCCAGGCTGGTCTAGGCAGCCAGCGCGAGCGTTGAAGCAACGAAGGGACTCGCTCAGGCAGCGCCCGCCAGCAGGCGACTCCAATGAGCTGCTCACGCGGCGACTACCAGCAGGAGAGACACCACGACGGCGGCCGCAGTCTGACGTCCAGTGGCGTCGCTCGCCTCGTCGCCGTCGGGGGCAACGGTCGAGGCGGGGGAAACCGTTGTGGTGAGCGCGCACACCTCCTCGGCCCGCCTCGAATTACCTTCTGGAATACCCGTTGTCTCTGCGTCAAAATCAAAGTCCGACGTCGTCATCACAGCTCCGGGGCACTGGAAAGCAGTCGTCGCACTGTCGCCGGGTTCGGGGAAGGTAATGCTGGCACATGTCTGCTCCATAAGGCAGTCTACCATGGGCGCGTCCTTGCAGGTAGCTCCGCACAGCATCCAGTTGTAGTTTTCCCCCAGTTCGGCCGCAAATGGCAGCTGTTCTTCGATCATTGGGAGGAGACTCCCCAAGTCGGAATCTTTGACCTGTAGAGTGCACATCGTGCTAGGATCCACTCCCAGGAGAGCAGTGCAGCTCAACGCCGTCGCAAAACCTGCCAAATCACTGCCAGCCGCATATGACAGAACTAAGTCACTGGACAAAGCATCCGCTTGCTGGCTCCAGGCGCAGCAGGCCAGTCGCTGGTTGGTGAGCTCATTGCAATCCGCGAAGGGAGCTTCGCTTTCTGGCAGCGGGCACTTTGCTCCCGACGATAGGCACGGCCGGGCCAGGCAGGCGCAGACCAACGTTAACACTCGCATCGGAACTTTTTTGGTGTGAAATTGGCAGTAGCAGACTGCACCAGCACAGCTTGACTCAAAATGGCTTCAGAGGAGCTCTCTTGGGGCCCTCCTGGGCCGTCCCTGGTGCGTCTTGGGCCAGGTTGGGGCATCTTGGGCCGTCTTGGGGCCTCTTGGGGGCTTCCTGGGCTCTCTTGTGGCGATGTTGGAGGCCTCTCTCTGTGGTCATCTTGGACGCCGTTCAAGCCGACAAAGCGACGATACCACCATACACGCTTTGCCACGGCAATGCGACGACATTTGCCCCCCGGAAGACCTCTTGGAATGCTCTTTGGGCATCTTGGAGGCCTCTGGGAAGAGTTGAGCCGCCTCGTGAGCCGTGTGAGAGCCCTTGAGATCATATTGGGAGCCATTTCGGGGCTCTCTGCAATCGCATTGACGGCGGTCTCATCGCTCTGGAGGCTGACTTGAAGCCTCCAAAAGCGTGCCGGGATCCATGGCCCCCCCTTTTGCGCTCGGGATATACATATATATGTGTATATACATATATAAAATTATATAATTTTATATATATGTATATATACATATATATATATATATATGTAATGTGTGTATGCGTTTGCGAGACTCTGGAGAAGCCCGCCGCAGGCATCAAAGCTTCACAAATTATGCAACGAGCCCACCGCAGGCGCCGATTTCTTCGTTAAACCAATGTGGGTAGGTCGCAGGTGGGTCACAAATGGGTCGCGGGTGGGTCGCGGGTGGGTCGCGGGTGGGTCGCTGCTGGGTCGCGGGTGGGTCGGGGGTGTAGAGGGCAGAAGATCAACCCCAGAATAATCACCCCGACAAGCGAAACCATTTAGTAAACGCACACACGGAGTGAATCAAACAGGGCAAGGCTGTTTGGCCCACGCCCAAGGCCGTTTTAGTAAACGTCAAATGTCGGGTCCAGGTGGTTTTTCCTCCCTTGAAGGTGGGTCGCGGGGTGGGTCCCGAATGGGTCGCGGTGTGGGTCGCGGGTGGGTCGCGGATGGGTCGCGGGGCGGGGGGACGGGTTGGGAACCCCCATGACCCCCCCCAGTTTTCCAGCAGCGGTAGAACACGCTCTTTCATATATATATATATATATATACATATATATATATATATATATATATATATATATATATATACATATACATACATATAGATAAACACATATACAGATACGTGTGCACCTACATGTGCTTGCACATAAAAGTACACATGTCCGTAGATACAGACATACACATATACACGTATGTGTTTGAAATAATTCTGCATTTGCTTCAAAACAGACTTCCAAATGCCCAAGACGCCACAGCGGTGGCCCAAGATGGCCCTAGGACGATCCAAGAGGCTCCCAAGACAGCCCCCAAAGGGCCCCAAGACGGCCCAAGAGGCCTCCAAGACACCCAAGATGGCCTGCAAGACGACCCTGACGCGCCCCGAGAGGGCCCCGAGACGGCCCAGAAGACTCCCAAAACGGCTACTAACGGCGTAAGACGGGCCAGGAACGCCCCCAAGAAGCCCCCAAGAAGCCCCCAAGAGGCCCCCAAGAGGCCCCCAAGAGGCCCCCAGGAGGCCCCCAGGAGGCCCCAAGAATGACCCGATAGGCACCCAAGAGGTCTCCGCCTCCTTCTCCTCATCCTCCGTTTCCCTCCCTCTCCTCGTACTCCTCTTCCTCCCCCATTTGCTCCCTGGAGGGCTTCCAGAACGGCTGGGGAACCGCATGGTCCAACAGCGTGGCCAAACACTGCCCACACGTTTGTATCCTAGAAGGCGAGGGGCGGCGGTGATTCGTCCTAGACGTCTTCGTAGAAAAATGAACTAGGCCCACGCGCGCGCGCATCGCGCGCAGGTATCTTATGCTCATCCTATGCCTACGCTTCATCTCGTAGTCCAAGTCGTCTCATTCCTCCTCGCCCTCCATCAAGCTTTTCTGCTCCTCACTCTTCCTCGTTTGAAGGAGTTTCTGTAGAACTCACGTCATCCTGACCCCCAGCGCGCGAAGAAATCAGGCCCACACCGCGCTTCCTGCACTGTTTCTGGCGAGTCCAGCGAATCCGGTCCAAACTGACACTATCGCCCAGGGCATCCTCACAAAATCGGCCCCGGGGGAAGGCCCAAGCATGCCTCCTTGTATTGTTTCCGGCAAATCGGGCGGCTCCACCAGAAGATTCCCGAACCAGCGCTACCGCTAGGGACATGTTCACAAAATCGGCCCCAGGGGAGGTGCCAAGAGTCCCTCCTGACACGGCTTCCAGCGAATCAAAAAGCCCCCAGGAGGCCCGCAATACCCTTCCATGGCCATGAGATGACAATGTGTTTTGAACACGTGATTGCCCGCCGTCAGCCAAGCTTTGCCGCAGCATGCAACGGAACTGGCCTGAAGAGCGGACTGTGAAAATACAGTTATAAGTATAATACCAAAAGGTAGCGGCACACAAAAAGCTGCCAAGGATCCGGGACAGCGTGCCAGACTCAAAGATGGCGTGGCCGCTCTTACGACAACTTCGATCGCAGGGGGCCAGGCTGGTCTAGGCAGCCAGCGCGAGCGTTAAAACAACGAAGGGACTCGCTCAGGCAGCGCCCGCCAGCAGACGACGCCAATGAGCTGCTCACGCGGCGACTGCCAGCAGGAGAGACACCACGACGGCGGCCGCAGTCTGACGTCCAGTGGCGTCGCTCGCCTCGTCGCCGTCGGGGGCAACGGTCGATGCGGGGGCAACCGTTGTGGTGAGCGCGCACACCTCCTCGGCCCGCCTCGAATTACCTTCTGGAATACCCGTTGTCTCTGCGTCAAAATCAAAGTCCGACGTCGTCATCACAGCTCCGGGGCACTGGAAAGCAGTCGTCGCACTGTCGCCGGGTTCGGGGAAGGTAATGCTGGCACATGTCTGCTCCATAAGGCAGTCTACCATGGGCGCGTCCTTGCAGGTAGCTCCGCACAGCATCCAGTTGTAGTTTCCCCCAGTTCGGCCGCAAATGGCAGCTGTTCTTCGATCATTGGGAGGAGACTCCCCAAGTCGGAATCTTTGACCTGTAGAGTGCACATCGTGCTAGGATCCACTCCCAGGAGAGCAGTGCAGCTCAACGCCGTCGCAAAAGCTGCCAAATCACTGCCAGCCGCATATGACAGAACGAAGTCACTGGACAAAGCATCCGCTTGCTGGCTCCAGGCGCAGCAGGCCAGTCGCTGGTTGGTGAGCTCATTGCAATCCGCGAAGGGAGCTTCGCTTTCTGGCAGCGGGCACTTTGCTCCCGACGATAGGCACGGCCGGGCCAGGCAGGCGCAGACCAACGTTAACACTCGCATCGGAACTTTTTTGGTGTGAAATTGGCAGTAGCAGACAGACTGCACCAGAACAGCTTGAGTCAAAATGGCTTCAGAGGAGCTCTCTTGGGGCCCTCCTGGGCCGTCCCTGGTGCGTCTTGGGCCAGGTTGGGGTCCTCTTGGGCCGTTCTGGGGCCTCTTGGGGGCTTCCTGGGCTCTCTTGTGGCGATGTTGGAGGCCTCTCTCTGTGGTCATCTTGGACGCCGTTCAAGGCGACAAAGCGACGATACCACCATACACGCTTTGCCACGGCAATGCGACGACATTTGCCCCCCGGAAGACCTCTTGGAATGCTCTTTGGGCATCTTGGAGGCCTCTGGGAAGAGTTGAGCCGCCTCGTGAGCCGTGTGAGAGCCCTTGAGATCATATTGGGAGCCATTTCGGGGCTCTCTGCAATCGCATTGACGGCGGTCTCATCGCTCTGGAGGCTGACTTGAAGCCTCCAAAAGCGTGCCGGGATCCCTGGGCCCCCCCATTTGCGGTCGGGATATATACATACATATATATATATATATGATAGATACATATATATATATATATATATATATATATATTGTATACATATATATATATATATATATATATGTATATAATGTGTGTATGCAGTTTGCGAGACTCTGGAGAAGCCCGCCGCAGGCATCAAAGCTTCACAAATTATGCAACGAGCCCGCCGCAGGCGCCGATTTCTTCGTTAAACCAATGTGGGTAGGTCGCGGGTGGGTCACAAATGGGTCGCGGGTGGGTCGCGGGTGGGTCGCTGCTGGGTCGCGGGTGGGTCGGGGGTGTAGAGGGCAGAAGATCAACCCCAGAATAATCACCCCGACAAGCGAAACCATTTAGTAAACGCACAAACGGAATGAATCAAACAGGGCAAGGCTGTTTGGTCCACGCCCAAGGCCGGTTTAGTAAACGTCAAGTGTCGGGTCCAGGTGGTTTTTCCTCCCTTGAAGGTGGGTCGCGGGGTGGGTCCCGAATGGGTCGCGGTGTGGGTCGCGGGTGGGTCGCGGATGGGTCGCGGGGCGGGGGGACGGGTTGGAACCCCCAGTGACCCCCCCCAGTTTTCCGCAGCGGTAGAACACGCTCTTTCATAAAAAAAAATATTATATATATATATATATATATATATATGTATATATATACATACACATATACATACATATACATATATGCACACATATACAGATACGTGTGCACCTACATGCGCTTGTACATAAAAGTACACATGTCCGTAGATACAGACACACATATACACATATGTGTTTGAAATAATTCTGCATTTGCTTCAAAACAGACTTCCAAATGCCCAAGACGCCACAGCGGTGGCCCAAGATAGCCCTAGGACGATCCAAGAGGCTCCCAAGACAGCCCCCAAAGGGCCCCAAGACGGCCCAAGAGGCCTCCAAGACACCCAAGATGGCCTGCAAGACGACCCTGACGCGCCCCGAGAGGGCCCCGAGACGGCCCAGGAGACTCCCAAAACGGCTACTAACGGCGTAAGACGGGCCAGGAACGCCCCCAAGAAGCCCCCAAAGGCCCCCAAGAGGCCCCCAAGAGGCCCCCAAGGGGCCCCCAGGAGGCTCCCAGGAGGCCCCAAGAATGACCCGATAGGCACCCAAGAGGTCTCCGTATCCTTCTCCTCATCCTCCGTTTCCATCCCTCTCCTCATACTCCTCTTCCTCCCCCATTTGCTCCCCGGAGGGCTTCCAGAACGCCTGGGGGACCGCATGCTCCAACAGCGTGGCCAAATACTGCCCACACGTTTGGCCACGCAGGCGTATCCTAAAAGGCGAGGGGCGGCGGTGATTCGCCCTAGACGTCTTCGTAGATAAATAAACTAGGCCCACGCGCGCTCGCATTGCGCGCAGCTACCTTATGCTCATCCTATGACTACGCTTCATCTCGTAGTCCAAGTCGTCTCATTCCTCTTCGCCCTCCATCAAGCTTTTCTGCTCCTCACTCTTCCTCGTTTGAAGGAGTTTCTGTAGAACTCACGTCATCCTGACCCCCAGCGCGCAAAGAAATCAGGCCCACACCGCGCTTCCTGCACTGTTTCTGGCGAGTCCAGCGAATCCGGTCCAAACTGACACTATCGCCTAGGGCATCCTCACAAAATCGGCCCCAGGGGAAGGCCCAAGCATGCCTCCTTGTATTGTTTCCGGCAAATCGGGCGGCTCCACCAGAAGATTCCCGAACCAGCGCTACCGCTAGGGACATGTTCACAAAATCGGCCCTAGGGGAGGTGCCAAGAGTCCCTCCTGACACGGTTTCCAGCGAATCCAAAAGCCCCCAGGAGGCCCGCAATACCCTTCCATGGCCATGAGATGACAATGTGTTTTGAACACGTGATTGCCCGCCGTCAGCCAAGCTTTGCCACAGCATGCAACGGAACTGGCCTGAAGAGCGAATTGTGAAATTATCCCGGCAAAGCAACCTAACAGCGATGTGTAGGAGCATATCTGGAAGCATTCCCCTTAAGATTCAGATAAGAATCCTGTTGTAGAATTCTGCTGTTCTCGCAGTCGTGGTCGCATTCGCGATGGCAGTCGCAGTGGCAACAGCAGTCGCAGTCACAGCCTCAGCCTCAGCCTGCCTCAGCCTCAGCCTCAGCCTGCCTCAGCCTCAGCCTGCCTCAGCCTCAGCCTCAGCCTGCTTCAGCCTCAGCATCAGTCTGCCTTCAGCCTCGGCCTCAGCCTCAGCCTGCCTCAGCCTCAGCCTGCATCAGCCTCAGCCTCAGCCTCAGCCTGCCTCAGCATCAGCCTGCCTCAGCCTCAGCCTCAGCCTGCCTCTGCCTCAGCCTCAGCCTGCTTCAGCCTCAGCCTCAGTCTGCCGTCAGCCTCGGCCTCAGCCTCAGCCTGCCTCACCTCAGCCTGCATCAGCCTCAGCCTCAGCCTCAGCCTGCCTCAGCCTGCCTCAGCCTCAGCCTCAGCCTCAGCCTACCTCAGCCTCAGCCTCAGCCTGCTTCAGCCTCAGCCTGAGTTGCCTGCAGCCTCGGCCTCAGCCTCAGCCCTCAGCCTCAGCCTCAGCCTCAGCCTCAGCCTGCCTCAGCCTCAACCTGCCTCAGCCTCAGCCTCAGCCTGCCTCAGCCTCAGCCTCAGCCTGCTTCAGCCTCAGCCTCAGTCTGCCTTCAGCCTCGGCCTCAGCCTCAGCCTGCCGCAGCCTCAGCCTGCATCAGCCTCAGCCTCAGCCTCAGCCTGCCTCAGCATCAGCCTGCCTCAGCCTCAGCCTCAGCCTGCCTCAGCCTCAGCCTCAGCCTGCTTCAGCCAGCCTCAGTCTGCCTTCAGCCTCGGCCTCAGCCTCAGCCTGCCTCAGCCTCAGCCTGCATCAGCCTCAGCCTCAGCCTCAGCCTGCCTCAGCATCAGCCTGCCTCAGCCTCAGCCTCAGCCTGCCTCAGCCTCAGCCTCAGCCTGCTTCAGCCTCAGCCTCAGTCTGCCTTCAGCCTCGGCCTCAGCCTCAGCCTGCCTCAGCCTCAGCCTGCATCAGCCTCAGCCTCAGCCTCAGCCTCCTCAGCCTCAGCCTGCCTCAGCCTCAGCCTCAGCCTGCCTCAGCCTCAGCCTCAGCCTGCTTCAGCCTCAGCCTCAGTCTGCCTTCAGCCTCGGCCTCAGCCTCAGCCTGCCTCAGCCTCAGCCTGCATCAGCCTCAGCCTCAGCCTCAGCCTGCCTCAGCATCAGCCTGCCTCAGCCTCAGCCTCAGCCTGCCTCAGCCTCAGCCTCAGCCTGCTTCAGCCTCAGCCTCAGTCTGCCTTCAGCCTCGGCCTCAGCCTCAGCCTGCCTCAGCCTCAGCCTCAGCCTCAGCCTCAGCCTCAGCCTCAGCCTGCCTTCAGCCTCAGCCTCAGCCTCAGCCTTCAGCCTCAGCCTCAGCCTCAGCCTGCATCAGCCTCAGCCTCAGCATTCAGCCTCAGCCTGCCTCAGCCTCAGCAGCCTGCCTCAGCATTCAAAGTGTGGCCCGGGAATGGAGTTCTGGGAACTCGAAGAACACGAAGTGGCCTACAGTTGGCTCCGGGCATTCAAAATCATGCCCAGGAATGGAGTTCTGGGAACTCGAAGACCACGAAGTGGCCTACAGTTGGCTCCGGGCATTCAAAATGTGGCCCGGGAATGGAGTTCTGGGAAGTCGAAGAGCACGAAGTGGCCTACAGTTGGCTCCGGGCATTCAGAATGTGGCCCGGGAATGGAGTTCTGGGAGGTCGAAGAGCACGAAGTGTGTGATTGTATGCGAAAAACGATCCCGGCCGGCAAACCCCAACTCGTCCCCAACGGCTGCCCAGACCCCCTGTGGAGTAATGTGCTGCTCTCTTTTTAGCCCATTAGAAACCTATCAGTCTTCGCTGTTAGGTAAATACAGACTGCAACGGAACTGGCCTGAAGAGCGAATTGTGAAAATACAGACAGTTAGGGCACCAAAAGGTAGCGGCGCACAAAAAGCTGCCAAGGATCCGGGACAGCGTGCCAGACTCAAAGATGGCGCGGCCGCTCTTACGACAACTTCGATCGCAGGGGGCCAGGTTGGTCGAGGCAGCCAGCGCGAGCGTTGAAGCAACGAAGGGACTCGCTCAGGCAGCGGCCGCCAGCAGGCGACTCCAATAAGCTGCTCACGCGGCGACTGCCAGCAGGAGAGACACCACAACGGCGCCCGCAGTCTGACGTCCAGTGGCGTCGCTCGTCTCGTCGCCGTCGGGGGCAACGGTCGAGGCGGGGGCAACCGTTGTTGTGAGCGCGCACACCTCCTCGGCCCGCCTCGAATTACCTTCTGGAATACCCGTTGTCTCTGCGTCAAAATCAAAGTCCGACGTCGTCATCACAGCTCCGGGGCACTGGTAAGCAGTCGTCGCACTGTCGCCTGGTTCGGGGAAGGTAATGCTGGCACATGTCTGCTCCATAAGGCAGTCTACCATGGGCGCGTCCTTGCAGGTACCTCCGCACAGCAACCAGTTTTGGTAATCCCCCAGTTTTGGCGCAAGTGGCAACTGTTCTTCGATCATTGGGAGGAGACTCCCCAAGTCTGAATTTTTGACCTGTAGAGTGCACATCGTGCTAGAATCCACTCCCAGGAGGGCAGTGCAGCTCATCGCCGTCGCATAAGCTGCCAAATCACTGCCAGCCATATATGACAGAACGAAGTCACTGGACAAAGCATCCGCTTGCTGGCTCCAGGAGCAGCAGGCCAATCGCTGGAGGGTGAGGTCCGGGCAATCCGTGAAGGGAGCATCGCTTTCTGGCAGCGGGCATTTTGCTCCCGACGATAGGCACGGCCGGGCCAGGCAGGCGCAGACCAACGTTCTCACTCGCATCGGAACTGTTCTGGTGTGACAGAGACAGTGGCAGACTGCACCAGCACAGCTTGAGTCAAAACGGCTGCGGAGGAGCTCTCTTGGGGCCCTCAGCAGCAGCAGCAGCATCAGCATCGCCGTTGTCATTAACAGCAGCAGTATCCCCAGCATCGTATGCAGTAACATCTGTCTCGTAATCACCGTCGTAATCATCAAAAGCATCATCAACGACATCGTCGTCATCGTCGTCATCATCATCATCAGCATCAGCATCGTCATCGTCATCATTCGCATCAGCATCGCCGGCATCAGCACCATCATCATATCATTCATCTTCGTCGCCACCATCATCATGATCATCATCAGCAGCAGTAGCAGCCTCACCATTACCAGCATCGTCGTCACCATCATAAGCAACATCATCATCAGCGTTATCATCAGCAGAATCGTCGTCGTCATCGCAGCCGTCACCAACCTCATCGGCATCACCATCATCGTTATAATCATCAGCATCATCATCCGCATCATCATCATCATCATCAGCAGCATCATCATCAGCATCAGTATCAGCATCATCATCAGCATCATCATCATCGTCATCATCATCATTGTCATTATCATCATCATCATCATCATCATCATCATCGCCAGCGTCAACATCATACTCAAACTCAGCAAGATCATCGTCATGGCCATCACCATCATCGGAATGATCTTCATCTTCATCATCACTACCGTCGTCGTCAGCATCCTCAGCAAAACCAGCACCAGTGTGATCATCATCGTCGTCGTGATCGTCGTCATTACTACAATCATCACCACCACAATCATCATCAACATCATCATCACCAACATCATCAGCAGCAGCACCATCGCCATCACCATCATCAGCATACCATCATCAGTATCATAAGCTCATGATCACCATCGTCATCGTGATCAGCATCAGCACCAGCATCGTCATCATCAGCAGCAGCATCAGCATCAGCATCAGAATCGGCATCATCATCACCACAACCATCCTCATAATCATCAGCATCATCATCCTTAGCAGCATCATCATACTCACCACCACAATGACATCATCACCTTCTGCATCATCATCAACAGCTGCATCATCATCAGCATCAGCAGCATCATCAGCATCAGCATCAGCGTCAGCATCATCATCAGTATCATAATCAGCAATATTAGCATCAGCATCAGCACCATCATCATAATCTGCATCAGCATCAGCATCAGCATAGTCATCAGCTACATCAGCATCATCGTCACCATCATCATCATCATCAGCAGCAGCAGCATCATCGTCGTCGCCAGAAACATCGTCGCCTCCTTCCCCACGTCATCTCTTCCGCCTCCTCTTCCCCTCGCATTGCTACCCCTGGTCCTCATCATCCTTTGCACCTGACGTCCACTTCCCATCCGTCGCCCCCGCATCCTCTTCTCCTCCTCCTCTTCTCCTCCTCGTGCCCCCTTATCATCCTCGTGGCCCCGCGTCCAATCCACTCAAGATCCCCCCTCTCCTCTGGAACTTGAAGGTCACGGTGTCGACGGCGCTACTGTTACCCCTCATCGCTTTCTCTACTTGCTTGCGGATGCGGTTCAGGAAGGCCTCGGGGGATGGACACGGTTCGACGACAAGGAGAAGGAGGGGGAGGACGGGGCAGAGGAGGGGGCAGAGGGAGGCGCTGTCTAGAATGACTGATCGCTTTCGGCACTGCGCTCCGAGGGTGAGGAACAAGGGAGGAGTGGCAAGGGGGAAGAGGAACAAGGGAGGAGAGGAGGAGAGAGGAGCGGGAAGGGGGGGGGAGAGCGCATCACGAGGAACTAGAGGGGAGAGGGAGAAGGCGATATTCGATTGGTAAGTGCGGCCTCGATGCCTTGAAGAGGTTATTGCGCATCAGGGCACTGCTGAGCAGCGTGCCTTCCGCTGCGAGCTCGCGGAGGACCAAAGCCGCGGGCGGCAGGGATTCCCCTCCCCAGCCCGCGCCGGGCAGGCCATCCCAAGCTGCTCAACGATCATGGGAGGTCGATTGCGAGGGGAATGGGGATGGGGAGGGGGAACGAGGGGAAGGCCCGATGGATGGAGATGGTGATGGGGAGGGGAGGGCGAAGGAGGGGGAAAGAGGGGAAGGCCCGATGGATGGATGGAAGGAGGGGAGAGGGAAGGAGGGGAGGGGGAAGGATGGGATAGGGGATGGGGATGGGGATGGAGATGGGGATGGGGACGGGAGGGGGAAGGAGGGGAAGGAGGGGAAGGAGGGGGATAGGGATGGGGATGGAGGCGGGCGGAAGGCCACGGGGGGGGGGCGGCTGGGGCAGGGGCTCGGTGCGCGCGTGGGGGCCAGGAGCGGGCTTCTGTGCGGGGGCGGCATCGGGACGGCCAGAAAACTGGAGCAGTCCTGTGATGCAGCGCATCCGTGGCGCAAGAGCGAGAGAGAGAGAGAGAGGGAAAGGGAGCGCTTGACGAGGCGCCCAGTTTGGTGGGTCCAGCTCTCTCTCTCTCTCTCTCTCTCTCTCTCTCTTTCTCTCTCTCTCTCTCTCTCTCTCTCTCTCTCTCTCTCTTTCTCTCTTTCTCTCTCTGTCTCGGCTCGAGAGTGCTCTGCACTCAGACCGCAGATACGACGCGAAGCGCCCCGCCTCGGAGTCAGACTCCCAGGCCTCGCGAGACCGGAGGGGTCCCAGCAGGACCCTACTGATTCGCGTCACCTCTCCGCACCAGAGTGCCCGCAGCAATGGCCCCCAAGAAGCCGGAGCGCCGTCACTCTTCAAAGCAGCCTCCGAGCTCCCGCCCCACGCGCCCTGCTGCTGAAGGGTCCCTCCTTCAACGCAAGCAGGACTGCATCGCAGCGTTCAGGCAAGCGGGGTCTGACCGCCCCACGGCCGCCTATAACGGGCTAGCCGAACTGAACGCGGACGAGCTCCAGGCAATGTACGACATGCACAAGTCCAACACGAAGAAGCTTGGCAGCGCCCTTATCCGCATGTGCGCCGCCAACCAGATTAGCTACACGCTCGATCACCACCAGCGCAGCAAGCCTAAGCGCACTGGCGGTGACACATCGCATCCACCAGCGGGCTCCGCACGTCTTCAGGCTGCGGACACCCAATTCATCGCCTTGGACCCTGCCTTTTGGAAGGTCCCTGTCCTTGCCGAACCCACCTCGCCTGACGACGGCAAGACGTACAAGCCCAGCATCAGCCTCCACGACTACGAGAGTGGTGAACGGCTGCTGCAGCACCACCTCGAGCAGGGCAAGCGAGCCACGGGTCAGCTCGCGATTGCTGTCATGGGCCCGAAAAACGACAACTACGTCGGTACCGAGCTCGCCGTCCCCGTCCTGAAGCGCCACCCCAAGGCGCCCAAAGTGGTCCACACGCACGTCCCCGTGATCGTGTACCAGCTGGGCACCAAGGAGGTCGCCTGCACGGAAAAGGTAGCCGTCGCCACCATCGACCCCGCCGACCACGTCTGCTGGATTCGGGCGACCATACACGAGACCGAGGCCATTGCCGCAGTCCCCTCCATGCACCAGGCCTTCGAGGACCAGTTCTCGGGAGGTGCCCCCGTGAACGGTGGTCCACGCGCCAAGGGCCCTTTTCGAGGCGACTCCGCTCCACAGGACAAGGCGCGCCAAAAGCACAAGGAGTCCAAGAAAGACGCTCGCCGCCAGGAGCTCGATAGCCAGCTCCAGGACACCTTCAAGGCCCTCTTCCACGGCAACTTTAAAGCCGTCACCATCCTCGAACCCTGCAAAAGCCTAGGCAGGTTTGGATCGGGCGTCGGAAAGAGGTCCCTGGCTGCCACCTTCGGCGTCAGTCTCCAAGCGGTCGACAAGGTCCTGGCGGGATCAGGGCAACTCGGGGCCACCTACGACCTCAGCAACGTAGGTGCAGACGAGCCCACCGCCGACAAGTATCAGACCGTTTGGTTCCCTGAGGACCAGCCCATCACGATGGCAGACGCGTTCCAGAAGTCGGTGGAGTTCAAGGCCCTGGGAGTCGTCAGGCACGGCAAGTCAGGCCTGCTGGGGATCCGTGTTCCGCGGGGGTCCGACGTCGCCAAGGCCGCTGCTGTCAGCATCCGCGGCTGCGAGGCTACCCTCGCCAAGACGCGCTACCGCATCACTGGCATTGCGGCACGCCACGCCACGCTGACCCAGCTCGCCAAGACTCTCACGGGCCCGTCCGTTAAATGGGACTGTGAGGTCTACCACACCGCCTGGGACCCAGCCACTGCGGCCCAGTTTGCCTTAGTGCGCGCTCATCGGCCCCCACTCACCTATACGGTGCAGGTCGCGGGGTGCCCCATCCCGTGGAGCATCACCGAGGCCCCGCTGGCTGAGGTGGCGCCGAAGCGGGACAACGTTACCATCGTCACGCCTACCACCATCACAGAGCCTGTGACGCCGCCAGCCGGTGGTGGCGGCTTTAGCCCCGCCACCGGCACACTCCTCACCAAAGCGGCCCAGAGCCCCTACCTCCACGACCTCATGACTGCCACGCCCAAAGGCAAGGGCGTCGCACCGCTCCTGACCCCCAAGGAGGAGCCTTCAGCCAAGCGCCACCGCTCCTCCAGCGGGAAACGTGACGCCACGCCGCACGCAAGGCCACCCTGCGCCCCAGGCCGCAGCTCCTCTGCGCCCCCGCACGGCACGGACGGAGCCGCTGAACCGACGGCCGCCCCAGGACCAGGTGGCCACGACCCCTGGCTTGGCACGGCGGCGGCAGAAGGTGGGGGCCACACCGAAGGCGACGCTGCCACAGCCGCCGAAGTACCAGGTGACGTCGTCGACGTCGAGATCCTCTCATCAGGTGATGAATACAGCGTGGCCTCCCACGAACTCAACACCTTCGGCGAGCGCTTCGCATCGGCCTCTAAACCGCCCGATGCTGCCACGACCCGCATCCAGCACATGGAACAGCAGCACGAGCTGCTAGCCAACACGGTGGATAACATGCAGGTGCAGCTTGCGGGCGTTCTCTCCTCCCAGGCCACACTCACGGAGCACGTTTCAGGGCTGGAACGGGGGCTTGCCACCGTCGTCACCCAGCAACAGACGGCAACCGCCGACGCCGCTGCACTGCGCGGCGACATCCAGACCCTCCTCGGGCACCTCACGGGAGGCACCATCCACCTGCCACAAGCGGCCACTCTGGAAACTAAGAAGGAGGAAGCCGCAGCGGCCGCCGAGCCCGCGGCAGCCTGCAGTTTGACCGACCAGCCAGGCCAGGCCACCCCAGGGACGGGGCCCCCAGGGGCCGACAAAGGCAAGGACAAGGGTCGGGCCACCCAGGAACCCTATTGAAGGTGCCTCAGAGAGCCCGCCTCAGCCCTCCGAGGAAGCGCCTTCAGAGGCATCGCTCCCCTCTTCGCGTCGTATCTCTTTCTTGTTACCTCATGTCTGTTTTGGCAGCAGCACGCGCAAGCTATCTGGTGTAGGGACACCCGTAGTCTTGCAGGGGGCGTGATTGTAGCAATGTACATGAGCATTCAGGGGTATTTGAGGACGTGTGCTGCCACGCAGCTTTCGGCTCATCGCTCGCGCCGCCCGCCAGGCCTCGCCATCATGTGGCGCCTTGCCTGCGGCCTGGCCCTCCCCTCGCTGGCTGGAGCACACCCGTCTTCAGGCGGTGCGCCCCAGCACGGAGGAGAGGCTTTCCTGCGACATGCGGAGCGTGGGACGCTCTTCTACCTTTACGATGACAGCATCTACAAATACGATCACAGCGCCATTTTGGACCCGATCGTGAACAGCACCGCCGCCGCTGGTCCGTGCGGCACCGGGCCGCTGGGCGCCCCCGCGAGCGCCTGGCCTGAGCAGCACCAGGGGCCCCGCCCCACGCGCTGCCCCCCTGGGACTTCGACGGCTACTACGACGTCTACGACGAGTACCAGCATGTCTCCTACGAGCACGCCCTCGTCAACTACGACACATGCATCGCAGTCGACCACCGATGTTGCCGCAGCTGAGATGACTCCTGCGTCCTCCGGCCACGCCTCGCACCGCATGCAAGTTCAGCTACGAGGGCTACCATCACTCAACATGACGCTTGCGGTCGACTGTCGTACAGCATATCCTCGATGGTACCCTGTCCTCAGCTTGTCCTCGACCGTCGTGCAGCATATCCTCGACAGGGCCGCTGGCAAGGCCCAGGCACGCAGTGGCGGCTTCAGCCCCGCTGTCGTGCCCCGCTTTAGCCCCACGAGTCCCACTACCCCTCTGTGCGCCAGGGGTGAACCCGAGGAGGACCCCGCTTTCTGGCACCTGATGAACATCCGAGCACGGCTCATACCGTGCGCCGCGGCGTGGGCACCAGGCGAGGACCATCAGGACGTGTACTGGGCATGGCTCGAGGACTGCGTCCCGCACGTCCTGGCGACGCTCCATCTGCCACAGTACGACCACTTTTTCCAGGAGGACTCCGCGGAGAAAAACGACGCCCTGCGCCACCGCACCGCGTTCGACATGTGCGAGGATATCTGGCACAGAGCGGGCCCCGACAGACAGCGCACCAACCGCAACCTCACTCGTATTCAGGGCAGCCACGAGTACCCCACCCGTTACCTTGGCCTCCTTCTGGAATACCAGTGCGCTCGTGCCCAGCTCG